GAAGGGGGCAAACGAGCATACGGCTCACCTGATGGTAAGTGACTACCGCCGCCCATGAACAACTGCAACACCAGGGGAACCAGGGGAATTGCAGATGCGTTGCCGGCCTTTTAAAAAGGAGTAGGCTCTTTTCTTGAAGTTCCCTAAGTCGTATCGGTCCGGAAAAATCGCTGATGGTAATCGATTCCACAAGAAAGTTGTGCGAGGAAGAAGAATCTTCTAAATCGCACAGTGGTGGACCGCCAATCATCCAGATGGTGTGGATGGTATCGAGAGATCTGCCGCGATGTGCGTTCGTGAAATTTGGCGGCTGGAATTAATCCGAACATTTCCTCAGAGCAATCCCCGTGATAAATGCGAAGGAAAATGCAAAGGGATGCAACATCTCTTCGCAGTGCCAATGAATCGAGGCGATCGGAAAAGAGTCGGTCGTCGACGATTCGAGCCGCTCTGCGCTGGATGCGGTCAAGTGGAAGGAGCTGGCACTGGGGAGCCCCTGCCCAGAGATGGGAACAGTATTCCATGTGAGGCCGAACCTGCGCCTTGTAAAGTTGCAGGCGGTGTGCCGGCATGAAATACTGTCCCGCTCTGCTGAGCACGCCAAGCTTTTTAGAGGCCAATTTGGCCTTCTCTTCCAAATGACCACGAAACTGGAGGTCACTCGATATGTCGACTCCGAGGATTCCGATACTGGCTGAGGCAAGAAGGGGAGTGCCTTGAAACTGAGGAGATACGACAAAGGGGTTCTTTTTAGCGGTAAACGCGCAAACTTGTGTCTTCTGAGGATTAAACTGGACTAGATTTAGTCGCCCCCAATCCGAGACTTTGTCCAGCAAAGACTCGACTTCAGACACAAGTTTGTTCCGGTACTTGGCGATATTTTCCCGAGAAATATTGGCACGGCCGGTGTATAGAACATCATCAGTGCTGTCATCCGCATAGCAATGAATGTTACCAGTTAGCAACATATCATTGATATGCAGAAGAAACAGCGGTGGGGATAGCACACAGCCTTGTGAAACACCAGCGTTAATAGGCTTGTAGTCGGAGCATGCACTGTCTACAACGACCTTGATGCTCCGATCTGCAAGGAAGCTGGTGATCCAATTGCATAATTTCTCGGGAAGCCCATAGGAAGGGAGCTTCGAAAGAAGCGCTTTGTGCCAATCCCGATCGAAGGCCTTCGCAATGTCCAAACTAACGGCCAACGCCTCTCCCTTGGACTCTACTGACTCCGCCCATCTATGAGTCAGGTAGACAAGAAGATCACCAGTTGATCGACCCCGACGAAAACCGTATTGGCGGTCACTAATCAGCTGGTGATCCTCAAGGTACCGCATGAGCTGGCAGTTAATAATGGATTCCATTATTTTGGAGAACAAGGAGGTGATGGCGATAGGCCTGTAGTTGGACGGGTCTGAGCGGTTGCCTTTTTTAGGGATCGGGTGGACAAAAGCTGTCTTCCATGATTTCGGGACTACGCCTAGGGAGTAGGAGTACTATGGTAAGTATCTCTATTTGTATTTATTCTGTTTATAGAATCTCTAAACTCTTTATGTTATGTTATTTAACTAATACAAGATAATTTATGAAAGTAGTTAGTACTACTTGTGTGGGCCGAGAGACTTCTGAAAATTAGATATTTGAAGAAACTATTGCTGTCACTCTATGAGCGCTCGGCGTCCGATAAGCACAACTGTAAATCTGACTGAATGACCTAATCGAGGTTTGCTCTACCATTTCCTCATCCAATATTGCACTAATTTAAAAGATATTTCACTAACTGAAGAATATACATTGTAAGGAGGATATATTTTTTACAGTGGTAGAGCCACGCGGCAGCTTTTGCTGTCGCACGAATGGGCCGGCTCGAACCGGGGTAGTACCACGACCTCACAGAAAACCAGCGTGAAGTAGAGGTTTACCTCTGCGTTTCGCTTGGTGAGTGCAGGTGGCCGGAGGCCCTTTTTACTGGAAATGAGGCATTCCATCTTAGTCCTCACGGGTGACAACGCATCTACATTTTGTTTTGTAACAAAGGATAGATGTAGATGTCTATGGGCCGCAGCAACCACTTACCATCAGGTGGACTGTGTGCTCGTTTGTCACCCTTATCGTATAAAAAAAAAATACACTGTGTGCGGGACAAGTGAAAAAAATTGTGATAGGATAATACATAAATAAGACAAACATTTTATGTTATATTAATGGAATAAATATTATAGTTTAGAGTTTATACTTAAATAGGATATAAGCGTTTATGTCATATTAATAAAGATTATAGTTTAGAGTTACACATAAAATAGGATATAAGCATTTTATGTTATGATAAGGAAATAATAGTTTAGTGTCTATATCTGTATAATAGAATTATTTATTTATTTATTTACACACACACACACACACTTAACAACTATCCTTACAGGCTAAACAAACCCAATACGATAGTGTCACTAATTTACTTAAATATACTATGTATTACAACTAACTTACATAACTAACTATGTATAAAAGTACCTTAGCGAGTTCACTCAGATTACTCGAAAATATGTCAATCCTCTCATGAACTTTATTCACTACTAGGATTGATCGGACTATAGGTGAGTTATTAAGCAAATTGGTCCTGGCCACGGGTACCGCGAGCAGCGGCGGGCGGCGTCGCCTCCACACGTACCGGTCCGGTGCGCACAGCTGCAGGTGGCGCAACAACCCCGGGTTGCATGTGGCGCCACGAAGCAACTTCACTACTTGTGCAGCCAGGGCAAACTCCCGTCTTACTCTGAGCTGGTTGTACCCGACCATCCCCAGCACGAACAATGTGGGGTACCTCAAAGGGTAAAACGGATATACCCCATACAGTTTGAAGTATATGTGCCTCATAAATTTGTTTTGGACACGTTCTAGCATTAGGCTGTACTTTTCTTCATGCGGGGCCCATATAACAGCACCGTACTCCAAGTGACTCCTGACTAGAGCATCGTATAGTACTTTCAGTGTGGTAATATTTTTAATATCTCTTGACTGTCTCAGGACAAAATCCTGGTTTCTATACGCCTTTTGACAAGGTTTAACAATATGTTCGCGAAACGTTAGATCTGAGGTGAGATGGATTCCGAGATCTCGTACCTGAGACACACGGGTCATCGGTGTTGCTTCCATCTTGTATTCGAAGTGCATCGGCTTACGCGCACGGGTGAAAGACAACACCGAACATTTGGATATATTAAAATACAATTTATTTTCGTGGCTCCACTTCACCACTCTGTATATATCTTCCTGTAGACATTCACAGTTACATTAGTTTTAATGTAAACAATGACTCAGTAAGGTGGTCACCTTGTATAATAGAACTAGCTTTAATGTAAACAATGTAACGTGACTCAGCAAGGTGGTCACTTAACATCGTCACTTGCTCTGTCACGCCTCGCGCTGATTGGTCGACGCCGTTTGCACGATACTTACACCGTATGTATTGACCCAGCCGAGGTAGTATAAAAGAAGGGCGATTTTCGTAGTTCGACACAGTCGGCGGCCAGCTACCTCAAAAAAAACATCGAATATAGAAGAAAGAAAATATCTCAGCGGTTTTATTCTCCACCAACCCAGCACACAATTGTGCCTGTACAATAACATTTAATGGTCCTTCGAGTCGGATAGTGCTACAACGAGTTAAGAAGACTTCTCGGAAATCGTTTTCAAGACGCAAGTTTTTCGAAGAAAAAAGTCAGCTGACAGCATGGTCGTTACGCGCTCTGAGGGATAGGGCAGCAAGCCGTCGTCGTCCGAGGCTACCACCTCGGCGACCGGTACCACCAGTGCGGAAGCCAGCACGGAATCTACAGCTATAGGGACGACCGCCACGGAGACTTCGGAGTATACAGACACCACCGCGGCAACTGATCCATCCACCGTGACTTCCGCCACCGCAGCAACCACTTCGTCCGCCGCCATCTCAGCCTCAGCCGCAACCGCCGCCCCCGCCGCGCACCCTGCCAGCGCCGTCGCTCCTTCCGTAACACCATCCGCGACGACGACGCTAACTGTGGGTGCGAAGGCTAAACAGCTGATGAAGCCGCCCGCTACTGTCACCAGAGCAACTCGCCGAGAAACAGAAACTGCTACAGTGAAGCGAGCCATAAGAAGTACCGCCGGTCCATCGAAACAAACCGGACTACAGAAACCCCGCCCGCCCAGCAAGAAGGGAGGAGGAGGAGGAGGGGGATCTACACGCAGTAGAACAAAGCAGCTCAAGCTTGCAAAGGCGAAGGAAGATTTGCTACGCCTTCAAGTGGAATTAGCCACAGCACGCCTTGCTGCCTTGGAAAGGGATGACTCAGAAGAGGAGGAGGAGGAAGAAGAAGATGAAGAGTGGACGACTGGTTACAGAATCAAGTGAATCGTCCGGTGTTAGCAATCACCAACGAACCTCACCATGCCATAGAAGAACCAAAGACCGCCCACACAGAAGAACCAAGGCAGGGAAAGCATGAAGAAACACATCAGTCACCGGCGGGAGGTCAAACTGACGTAGCCCTCCTGGCTGAAGCCATCACTCGGGCTGTCAGCGCCGCCCAAGTCAGTGGGTCTCATCAGGAATGGCTACCCTTTCGCGCCGCCTACTACGAGACAGAAGCGACATTCAGCGCAGTTGAAAATACGAATCGACTCAGAAGAAACTTGAAAGGGAAGGCCAAGGAAGTAGTTGAAGGCCTACTTATGACCAACGCACACCCGGCTGAAGTAATGAAGACTTTGGAGTCAAGATTTGGAAGACCAGAGTCAATAGCCAAGCTGGAGATGGAGACGCTTAGAGGTCTGCCGCGCCTTACTGAGTCACCAAGAGACATATGCATATTCGCCACCATTTGCAGTTCTCCAACGTAGTGGCGACACTGAAGACTTTGGGTTGTTTTAACTACATGTATAATCCTGAACTCGCGAAGACAATAGTAGACAAACTGACGCCAACTCTGCGTTAAAGATATTACGACATCTCAGCCATGCAGCCGCGTGAAGACTATTGCCTCATCAAGATAGAGAATTTCTTCAAAAGGGAAGCAGAATTGTGTGGACCCTACGCGCTGCCCGAACAGATGACACCGCCTACTACAGCCGCACCACAAAGGAAGACTCAAAGGATCAACAACGTGACTGAGAAGAAACACATATCAAGGTGCGTCGTATGTGAAGATACGGGGCACACCAACGCCACAGAATGTGAACAATTCAAGAAGTTAGATGCAAATGCAAGATGGGACATGGCCAAGTCCAAGCGCCTCTGCACTGCAGACTCAAGTCATGTAAAGTCAACAGCTGCAAGTACTCTCACCACAAAATGCTGCACTACGAAAAAAAGTCAGAAGATACAGAAGCAAAAGAAAATCAAAAGGCAACAGAGTTCATCAACTCAACTTGGACCGTCAAGAAGCAATCGTATTTAAAAATCCTACCGATCCAGGTCAAAGTACCAAAAGGAGCTGTCAACACCTTCGCGTTGATGGACGACGGCTCAACAGTCACGCTCGTCGACGATAGCATAGTAACAAGCGTTGGAGCAACGGGCCCCATAGACCCACTGAAGATAGAAACCATCAACGACAAGAAAGTATCGGAGTCAGCATCAAGGAGAGTCACCATCAAACTAAAGGGGCTCAACGATCATAAAGAAGAAATACAAGCACGCACAGTGAAGAACCTGCAAGTCTCATCTCAACGGGTTCCACAGGAACTAGTGGAAGAGTGTCGACACCTCTGTGATATTCAAGGACATCTCACGCAAAGCAACGAGTGCTGATCGGTCAAGATAACTGGCATCTTCTGCTGACATCGGAAGTAAGAAGAGGAGACAAGAACCACCCAGTGGCATCTCTCACGCCACTATGTTGGGACTCCACGGAAGTCAGACACGAAGCTTCGGACGGAACATCGATTTCGTGTCACACATCGCAGAGGATCCAGACGAGAATCTAGAAGACCTCGTGAAGCGATACTTCGAGATGGACGCACTCTGTATAAAACCCAAGAGACCGAAGACTGATCCAGAAGAACAAGCACTTCGTATCTTGGAAAGGACCACAACAAAGATAGAAGAAGGAAGATTCCAGACCGGTCTTCTCTGGCGCAAAGACGATGTCTAGTTACCAGACAACTACGAAAACTCGCTGAAGAGGCTCTTCAATATAGAAAAGAAGATCGATCGTGATCCCACGTTAAAGAAGAAGTACGTGGAACAAATGGACGCTCTCAGCGCAAAGGGATACGCCGAACCCGCCCCAAAACAGAAGACAGCTGACAAGACTGTACCTACCTCACTTTGCAGTAGTCAACCCAATGAAACCAGAGAAATTGCGGGTGGTACACGATGCAGCAGCCAAGACCAAAGGGGTGGCACTTAATGACATGCTACTCAAAGCGCCTGACCTACTACAATCGCTACCAGATGTCGTCATGCGCTTCCGGCAACACATGATCGCGGTTACGGCGGACATCAAGAAGATGTTCATGCAAGTTAAGTTACGAGTACAAGACAGGGATGCACTGCGTTACCTGTGGCGTGGGGATCGACGAGACAACCAACCTCCGGAAGAATACAGAATGACATCTTTAATCTTCGGAGCATCGAGTTCGCCTTCGACAGCAATATACGTCAAGAACCTGAACGCCAAACAGCACGGGGAAACTCACCCAGAAGCCGCAACTGCCATCATAAAGAAGCATTACGTCGACAACTACTAGAAAAGCTTCAGAACCCTCGAAGATGCCGAACGCATCACGAAGAGTGTACGAGCCGTGCACATGAAAGCCAGCTTCGAGTTGAAACAGTGGAAATCGAACTCAGCGTCACTCCTAGAAACACTTGGAGAAGACAACCAGACAGAAGACATGAAACTCTACAATACAGAAAAAAAACGGAACGAGTTCTGGGTGTTGTTTGGAAGATCAACTCAGACGAACTCACCTTCAACCTCAATTTAGCCAGAATACCCTCAACACTCTTAGAAGGGAAGCAGCCGACGAAAAGGGAAGCAGTAAGAATAGTGATGTCGCTCTTCGACCCGCTCGGATTCGCCTCACCTATCACCATCAGGGCAAAACAACTCCTCCAGGAAGTCTGGCGTAGAGCAACAGCATGGGACGACAAGATCGACGAAGACCTGGCGGAACAGTGGGAAATGTGGATGGAGCATCTGAAAGGCCTCCACGAAGTAGCAATCCCGCGGCAATATCTTCACTACAGCGAAGCGGCCTCCATAGAACTCCACGTCTTCAGCGATGCCAGCGAGTCAGCCTACTCTGCGTTTCTCTTTTGGAGAGCTGTAACAGTAGTAAGCGAGGTTCACCTATCCCTCATTATGGCGAAAGCAAAGGTGGCACCATTAAAATTGACGTCCATCCCAAGATTGGAGCTTAAACAGTAGTTGAAGAACACGAGAGGAAACCTGACCGCAAAGTATTTTGGACGGACAGCAAGACTGTACTAACCTGGATAAGGACAGGGTCATGTTCATATAAGCCCTACGTGGCTCATCGTCTAGCAGCAATAGAAGAGAGTTCCAAAATCAACGACTGGCGCTTGACTCCGAGAAAGCTGAACGTGGCGGACGACGCCACACGAGACATACCAGCAGCATTTAATAAAGACCATCGATGTTTCAAAGGACCTGTCGCCAGAAGACATAAAGCCGCTAATGGTCACAGCCGAGCTGCTTAAAGCAGCTGAAGAACTGCTGATGCGATCCTCCCAAGAAGAATCCTTTGCGGAAGAAATAGACAGCCTAAACAGCGGGAAGCCGATTAACAAAGAGAGCCACCTTCGCCAACTCAGCGTCGAGTCAATAAACGGCACACTACGACTTAGAAGCCGTATTCGAGCGGCCTGCGACATGGAGGAAGAATTCAAGAACCCGCTGATAATTGACGGTGAACATCATACAGTCAAGCTCTGGGTGCAGGCTATCATATCATATCATATCATATTTTTTTAAAAACGTTACCCCCACACTAGGATTTTCTCCTGTCTCGTGGAGGCAGTTTACAAACATAAATTGCACAAGGACAAATATCCAGACCCGGAACAATTATTTGTAGACCATACAAATACTTGTTCCGTGCGTGATTCGAACCCGCGGCCCCCAGTGCAACAACTGATTGCTAAGCCACTACGCCACGGAGCCGTCAACAAATACATCGGCAACTCCATCACGCCGGTGTAGAAGCCACAGTCAACAAGTGCCGGCAGCAGTATTGGGTACTGAGACTGCGCCCTATCGTACGCACAGTACTACGAAGATGCCTATTCTGCAGAATGAAGACGCAAGTACCGCCGCATCCGAGAACCGGGGACCTGCCAACATGTCGCTTAGCTCACCACAAGCGCCCCTTCACCTACACCGGGGTGGACTATTTCGGACCTCTTTCGGTGACCGTCGGACGAACTCGACAAAAGATATATGTGGCCGATTTTACATGTCTCACGACACGAGCCATACATCTGGAAGTCGCCGGCTCACTTAGCGCTGACTCTGCGGTAATGGCCATAAGGCGAAGATCGCGTGGCGAGGCTGCCCGACAGAAATTTGGTCAGACAACGGCACCAACCTGAAGGCAGCCGATAAGGAACTACGACAGGCGGTCGACGCAGCGACCGCAGAAGAAGCAGCGAAGAGGACTATCTCCTGGCGCTACATCCCGTCTGGAGCTCCATTTATAGGCGGAGCCTGGGAGCGAATGGTTCGCTCCGTCAAGACCGCTCTCATCTGACGTTACACAAACGTCATCCGACAGAAGAAGTCCTCACGACACTACTGGTAGAAGTAGAATACACCGTCAACAGCCGCCCGCTGACCCACGTCTCAGTCAGTCCAGAGGATCCCGAAGCTCTCACTCCTAACAACTTCTTGTTGGGAGGACCAGGACGATTACCACAGCCAGGCACTTTCACCGAACAAGACGCCCTCTTACGGTCAAGTTGGCGAGCTGCGCAGAGTCTAGCCGACATCTTCTGGCTACGCTGGGTGAAGGAGTACCTCCCTGAGCCCCAACACCAGCGGGAGCCCCACGGTCGAGGCCAAGCAGCACGCTTTGACGACCTCGTACAGATCGTCGATCCCAACCTGCCCCGCAACGTGTGGATACGAGGAAGAGTCATCGCTACATATCCGGGTCCCGACAACGTCGTGCGGACGGTGGACGTGCTCACCAAGGGAGGTGTCCTACGCCGGCCAGTGAGGAAGCTTGTGATCCTGTCTCTATCTACGGACGTCGAGCCCGCACCGGAAGCTGATGCGACGCGGTCGCACGGCGGGAGTGATGTGCGGGACAAGTGAAAACAAATAGTGATAGGATAATACATAAATAAGACAAACATTTTATGTTATATTAATGGAATAAATATTATAGTTTAGAGTTTATACTTAAATAGGATATAAGCGTTTATGTCATATTAATAAACATTATAGTTTAGAGTTACAAATAAAATAGGATATAAGCATTTTATGTTATGATAAGGAAATAATAGTTTAGTGTCTATATCTGTATAATAGAATTAGTTTTAATGTAAACAATGACTCAGTAAGGTGGTCACCTTGTATAATAGAACTAGCTTTAATGTAAACAATGTAACGTGACTCAGCAAGGTGGTCACTTAACATCGTCACTTGCTCTGTCACGCCTCGCGCTGATTGGTCGACGCCGTTTGCACGATACTTACACCGTATGTATTGACCCAGCCGAGGTAGTATAAAAGAAGGGCGATTTTCGTAGTTCGACGAGACCCGCCTAATAAACTTTCAAACGACCTGAACTGCCTCCTGGCGGCTCAGGCCAACTCTAATTAAGTTATTCATAATTAATTTGCCTTCCCAGGCACTCCCTCAGCGGCTTATAGCCGCCTGCGCCTTCTTTTCCCAAAAGAGGGTCGCTTTACGATACGGCATGTGAAGCTTTCAACAGCTGGTTGCCAGTCCCCAAAGGCAGTTTTTAGAGGGTATCACTTAGGTTCCCCTTGTAGGTAGTGAGTCCCTCATAACCACGATGGACCGGCCATCGTGGTATGCGTAATGCATTTTCTGCCTCCCTTCGGGGTAGCCCTTTTCCCCTTTTCCCCGTAGTTCGACACATTCCGCCTGTGCCACCGCTCTCGAGCGGTCGTTCAGGTAGTCCGCGCAGCCGTCCCCGTACGGTAGTGCTCTCTCGCTCTCGCGCCTCCGCTGTCCTGCTCGCGCTGTACAGCGTCGACGCCTTGGTGAGTCATTTCTGCTATCAGTTCTTGCCCCCCTGTCCTCGGGCGGGGAGGTTTGACTGACCTCCGCTTGTTACCTGTTATATTTTTTTGTTATTTTTGTTAACTATTTCTATTTTTGTTTTCGTTATTTATTTGTATAACGTGTACGTGTATACTGTTTCTAGGGAGTTACTTGCTCTTTTCAGAGCAAGGCCCTGC